TCTGAGGCTTCCAGCAGAGGTACGGCAAACTGAAGATGGCTCTGTGAGAGTGAAGCCAACAACCACAGAAAAGAATACGAAGCCAGTAAGTAGACCAGTTCCTTGGAACTTCTCTGCATATCCAAGGAACCATCTTACCCTAATGGGATTGGCCTGCCCGCCCATGCTGGCGGAATGGGCAATGCTGCCGACCCCATTGGTCAAGGAGTCCAGGAGAACAAACTTTTCTGCATGGCTCTCATTCTCAGGAACATTGTGCTCCTCAAGGTGAGATCCTCTGCCACTCTTCTGGCCTCCTGGACAAGCTTTAAAACCTGGCTCTACTAATTGACCTGGATTTCCTATGGCAGCGTTCCACACTGTGCTGTATATTGCTCTTTCTTTAGCTGTTGTTAATTTTAATGGTAATATTTATTGTTTGAATGTTTTATATTGTGATTTTTTTTTTAGCTTGTTGTAAGCCAACTAGAGTCTCTTGATGGCAAGATGGGTGGCCCATAAATTTAATAAATAATAAAAACAAGAGGACGGGAGATCAGCTGCATGTGTTCTAGGTGGCTGCTCTTTGTGAGGAGGCAGCAAAACAGTGTTTTCCCATGAGTTTGAATGCTGGCAGATGATGGGATTAGTCTTCTGGAGATACGTTCCCTGTCTCTTTTTAATCTGCATGTTGGAGGAAGATTTACCATCTCACTCTTAGGTGCTGCTTTTGATCTTCCATACTCAGTGTTCTATGTGGCTGCATACATATAGGCTTAAACACATATATTGGATCCTATCTCACGTAACTTAGCCTAGAATCTCCATTTTGTTGGAGTAGTTCACCCCACATAGAGGACATATATTCTTCCAGAGAAAGAATAACACTAGCACTAGCACTTAGACTTATATACCGCTTCACAGTGCTTTACAGCAGGAGAATTGAGGGTTGGGTATTGTCTACATTGAATTGAATAAATAAATAAATAAATAAATAAATAAATAGGTATGATACAAATACTTGGCTCTTTCTTATGTCTTCCAAGAGATAGGATATTTGTATTGTCATCAACACTGCTTAAAGATGGAGTTCAATAATGCTACATATGTTTAACTTTTAACTATGCTTCCTGAATTTCATTTCCCATTGCCATGTGTATGTGTGTGCGGAGGTCTTGACCTGGTATAATATTTCAAAAATCTAAAGTTTATGCTAAATATTTTTGTAGCTTTTATTGTGTTATAAGACATAAGGTAATGAGAAGGCACATAGCATATTACCCCTCTGCTGCTCTGTGAGCAAATACTGAGCAAATCTATGTGCAAGTTGGATCACGATATCTAATCAAAGCTTTACTCAATCTGCAAATATGGGAGTTGGGCAAAGATTTTTGAAATTGCAGAAAAATTCAGATTGCTATTAAACAATTGCACAACGCTGCATCTGAATTGCTGAGGTTTTTCTTTTCCAATCTTCATCTGTAACACTGTGAGTGCCCGAAACGTCAGCATCTGCAAAGTTATTTGCAAATACAGATCTCTGAAAATATATAAATTCTTGCTTTTCTCATTATTTGAGTCCCTTATGCCTTTTTCCCTTTGCTTTTGTTCAAGTGCATGGTGGAGAGAGTTTGAGAGAGTCCACTGTTAAATTGGTGAGGGGCATGTGGGTGTCAGAATGACCTATGTTTTGTTTTAAAACATTACATTGCAACCATCGAAATTCTGGGACAATGTGAAGAGAAATGCCGCGGAAGAATCTGCTCATGGCAGCCTGATCCTATTTGCAAGGATGAAGAAAGGAATGCAGGCACCAAGAGGGTGGTAGCTAAATCCCATGTAAGAGATGTCTGGTAGGGAAAATAGTTCAGAAAAAGCTGAGTGGGGGCAGGCTGCCTGCATTGTTACCTAATCACACTTCTTTGCCTTGTTTCTTGAAGAATACCGAGAAAGAAAAAGTGAGAGAAACATGATGTCTATGTTTTTATGGGCTATCAAATAACGACTTCTGTCTCTCACCCTGGAGAGCCCTTTGTTAATGAAGTGGCAGCACATCCTTGCTTGTGCTGATGGTTTTTATCCTGGAGTTTAAAGATTTGCCAGCTGCTAGAAAGCTTTACAGCAGGGGTCTTCAAACTTGCCCCTTTTATGACTTGTGGACTTTAACTCCCAGAATTCCTCAGCCAGCGTGTCTGGCTGAGGAATTCTGGAAGTTGAAGTCTACAAGTCACAAAAGGGCCAAGTTTGAAGACCCCCGCTGTAAAGCCACGTTTGAAGACCCGTTTTACAGTATTGGGAAGAACTGTAAATGTTGCCATTGTAATTTCCAGCCACCGTTAACAACTCACTGAATGGAATTCTAGGAGTTACAACCTAACTTGACTGGAGGATACCTAGCAGGGGAAGAGTGATGTAATAAACAGTCAAGAAAAGACTTCATAACCTCATTGGTTATCCCACATGGAGGTTGTATGCAGCCAGGAGCACCTTGAGCAGAGGTCAACGCAAATGAGAGAAATGTACCACATTATAGCACTTGTGGACAAGTGCACATTAAGTAATGGCCAAGCAGACAATTCATTCTAAATTTAATGGGAAGAGAAAAGAGATTTTTACAGTCTTCTTATAATGGGATAATTCTGTTCCCTTCCTTCTTTTTAATTAAACATAAATGAGGTTAGACATGCATTCCAATTTTCTTGACTCTTTCAACAGGTCAGTGAAAAGGTTACACTTAAAAAATTAATATTTTTTTAATGAAAATGAAGCTTAGCCAATAAAATACAAATAAAACTGGGGGAATTATCTACTAATTCTTCTTTCTTGAAGTAATATATTGAGACAGTTTCTAATGTTTTTTTTTAAAAAGTCACAAAGCCACAACATTGGAGAATTCTGTAACTATTGACAAATGCTACATTTAAAGATAGCATTAAGAAAAAAAGCACAAATACAGTATGTAATGAATGTTAAATAGAGCGGATGTGTGATATCTACTACTAGACATGTCTTCAGCAATAGACCAACAATTCAGCATATAGTACAGTCTGTTTAAGGCCAAGACCCAGGTCAGACTCTTGAAAAAGCTTGACAGCAGCCTTCCTCCCAAATATAGGTAGATAAGGAGAAGGAGATGGTTATATTAAGGAAAAAAATTACATTAGATTTAATTTAAAGGAAATTAGATCAATTACTGTTAATATAGTTATCTCTGATGCATTTAATACGCTTCCCATTCTGTTGCACTGAAAATGGCCATCTGCCAGCATTTATGGAGATGCTTTGAGAATCTGGGCTTATGAGGCTTATAGGCACCTCAACGGGCCCTCTGTATTCTTCTTCTGTGCTTGCATTGTGACACCTATGTATTTTAAGTAGCATTCACAACCACAGTAATGACGCTTTCTGCTGCAAGGAAAATGATATGTGTGGAGGTGCAAAAGATTATGACTGGTGTGCATGAGAATGAAAGAATCAACCGATAAGCAACTTTGACAAAAGAGACGTGACTACAGATTATGTAAAATGCCATTATAAGACATTGTCTAGAAAGGACACTTTCAAACAAACGGTCTTCAAGATTACATTACGATTTATCCATCTAGCTCCCAAATTTGGATTAAACAAAATACCAAATACTTGTTTATTTAGCAGTTGCATCTTTCTTCAATGAGATTAATGTTATTCTTTTACCTCAGATTGTTTGACCAATGAACCGTTGAGAACTCTCTTGTTACTTTCTACTACAGACTTTGCTTACTGACTGCCCCATTTAGTGACCATTTGAAGTTACAATGTTGAAGGAAAAAAACCAGCTTCATGATCAATCCTTGCATTTATGACTGTTGCAGCACCTTGTGGTCACAAAATTGCCGTTCAGGCACTTTGCAACGGGCAATATGTGGCAGTTTTCCGCAGTCACGTGATCATGCTTCACAAACAGTTTCACAAACAGCTTTCAACAAGCAGAAATAATGGAGAGCTTTATCCAGCCAATTTACACATGGGAGTTAAGCGGCTTAAGGCTACAGAGCAGAAAAGCCCCAATTAGCTCATTTCTTTTCCCCTTTCCCCCGAATTTCCCCTTTATAATAAAGGAGTTATCCCTCTCCCACCCCATCCTGTCATATAGCCTTGGATTGTGTACAGCGAAAGTATTAAACAGCTTAAAACTCCATGATGTCCTTATACACATCTCTCAGCCTTGGATACTGTCACTGCAGCTGACATAAAAGAAGCGTTAAGCAGAAACACCTCTTTTCATTATTCTTGGCTTAGCATGTGCACCCTCTCCCTTTGTCTTCAGCTATATTTGCAGAGTGCCATCAGATGCCCAGATTTGATATCTTCCACAATATCAATTCATATTTTTTTTCAGCAGCATCCCATTGTGTTGAATAATATTACTACTTTAAGCAGCAGGTGTTAGTATATCATGAAAAGAGGGAACCACAACAAATAATTATTTATTATTGCTGTATTTTTACGGCAAAATATGAAGACAAGTGCATTCTGGTTCATTTGCCCAAATAACATGGCCAGCCTAAATCAATATGAACCTTAATTTGGGTGGCAGGATGAAAGAACACAGTGTCCTACAAGGGCTCTGATCTTTTAATCCCACGTCCCATCTTTAAAGGGCGGATATCCCGGTGATGTTCACCTATTTGCCTCTTTCCACCTCTGCCTTCTTTCCAATCTAGTGTTCGGTTTCGACTCTTTCCCTGAAGCTCTGGATCTTAAGTTAGTGTGATTAAAATAAATATGCAGACCCATTGTAATTGGTGGCACTATATCCCATGATCATCATTTTGCTGTTCTTTGCAAATAAACCCTTGCTTTAGTCTTCCCCCTTCCCCAGAAGGAACTTATCTTATAAGCTTTTATAGCTTATTTCATAATTTCTCTGGGGTTTCCGTGCCTTTAAACAGATGGTTTGCCAAGGAAACACAACCACTTCTTTTCCCACCTCTCTGGGGCTTCCTCCTTTGTGTAGCTGATCATATTTAACTACAACTTACCAGTTTGCGCTGACACCACTGGCAAATTCCACACAGGACAATGGTGACACTAAGGCTAATGGTGATGATGACTGAAACCAGGAGGACATCACGGGAGGGTGTCCCTGAGAAGAGAAAGCCCAAAGTTAGCCACGTTAACCTGAATAATAATTTCTCATCACATCGCCTCAATTGTCCTTCACAGTTTTTACTTGCTTTTGTCCACATCTCACAGAAATCCTTACAAAATGGAAGGTCTGGAAGCCATCAGTTTCTTCTCTACGCATGTGTCAAGTGCCTTAGCTCCATACTTTTCAAGGTCTTGTTCTATTTTGTTTGGATTTCTACTGGGCTTAGTACTTAATAATAATAATAATAATAATGATAACGATAATGATAATGATAAAGTTGGAAGGGACCTTGGAGGTCATCTAGTCCAACCCTGTGCTTAGGCAGGGAACCCTATACCATTTTGGACAAATGGCTGTCCAGTTTCTTCTTAAAAACTTCCAGTATTGGAGCATTCACCGCTTCTGGGGGCAGGTTGTTCCACTGGTTAATTGTTCTAACTGCCAGGAAGTTTCTCCTTAGTTCTAGGTTGCTTCTCTCTTTGGTTAGTTTCCATCCGTTGCTTCTCGTCCTGCCTTCAGGCGCTTTGGAGAATAGCTTGACTCCCTCTTCTTTGTGGCAGCCCCTGAGATATTGGAACACTGCTATCATGTCCCCCCTTGTCCTTCTCTTCGTTAAACTAGACCAGGGGTAGGCAACCTTGGCTCTTTTATGACTCGTGGACTTCAACTCCCAGAATTCCTGAGCCAGCTATGCTGAGGGGAAAGGGAGAGGTTTCCAAGCTGAGCCATGCTGGCTCAGGAATTCTGGGAGTTGAAGTCCACGAGTCATCAAAGAGCCAAGGTTGCCTACCCCTGAACTAGACATACCCAATTCCAGCAACCGTTCCTTATATGTTTTAGCCTCCAGTCCCCTAATCATCTTTGTTGCTTAGTACTGTTTTCTGTTAAACTAAACGGACATCTGGTTCAATCAATTTTTTTTAATATTTTGCTCTCATTCCACCTTGGTGAAGGGAGTGTAAGAAGAAGAAACAATTATGAATTCTTGGCAGTTCCTTTGCCAAGCAAGGTCTCAGATTGGGGAGATCAAACCAGGGATTGAAACTCTGCTGCTTTGGCTGGTAATGGAAAAATTCCGCACATTCCCTAACATGGACAGGGCAAGCCTTATTGCAATGCAGCACCCAGAATCAACCATAGATTATCATTAGTATGCTTTATGATTTCATGGCACTCCAGCTGCACGGCTTTCTATAGAACAATTATCGTAGCAAAAGAACATTGCATTTTTTTTTTTAAAAAAAGAGAGTACAGATCCAGGAATTTTTAAGAACTGCTCCTCTCTCACAAATTGAAAATAAAGTAAAATAAAAGTAAAGTTGGGGGGGGAGGAGGGAAGATGATATTTGGCTGGGAGGAAATCTGTATTTAACTGCTATTTGTCTGGATTATCCAGTCTCTCTTACATCCCTCAAGATAGTTGGGAAGGAGATGGGGTTTAAAGCCACAATTTTACTCCCTGGATTCATGCTACTTTGGCTGTTCCAATTATTTTATAAACATTGGAGCAAAGGATCCTGAACAAGGGCTGTTGTTTTTCTTCTGGATAATAGTAACAAGATAAATCTGTTCCTCACTGATGATAAAGTGGGTAGTAGAGAAAAATATCCCTGAGTTACAGGCCAGAGAAAGTAGCCTGCTAGGCTGTGGGCTGTCCATGTGTGATCTAAAATTTAAATAGCACAGGTTCTAATTAGAGCTCAAGAGAATGAATTCATATTCTAAAATAGTGGCCTTGACCTAGAAAAGTATGACAATATTGAAACTAGAGCTACTTTAATTGCAATTCACATGGAAGGGTCCCAGTTGTTTAGAGCTAGCTAAGGTAAGTAGATGATTTGGCTACCTCCACAAGATATATAAGGGTCAGAAGTTTTCGATAGCTTAGCACAACTTTAATTCCACACACAGGCCTCCACTTAAACATGCATTCCATCAAATGTACATAGTTATGCAAGGTATTATGACTCAGCCCACATTTAGCAGAGGAAGATAAATAGAAGGCAACAGATAAGTAGTCAGACAAAGCATGTACTGTGTAACATTTTCTTTAACAGACTATAATTCAACATTTATTTCATTATTATTTTTCAGGTATAAACAACTAGAGAAAATTTAGAGCAACCAAACAATAAATCAACAGAAGAAGCTAACATTCAATAAATTCAAGGTAATACTTATTGCGAAGATGTAGCACTGTGTCTTAAATGAACAGTAACCTCTTGTGTAAGAGGGTGAAGTGCTAACATGAAAAACCCTATATATTTCTTTCATTACAACACAGGAGATGGAAATAAAAGCAGAAGGCTAATCCAACCATAGGTAATAATAAATGTGGCTATATAGACCAATGGGCTAGCTATATCATTAAGCAAAAATAGCATTCACTCCTCTTATTTGCTCTAGGGTCTTGCACTAATAAACAGAATATTTAATTATCTGGCTTGATGATAGAAGATTGCCCGTGAAAATACATCGCAGCTACTGGAGAAAGAAGAGGCGTGACTGTTACAAATGAGCCGTACAAGCCGATCAGGACTGCCATCCTCCCTCTCTCTTTCTCTGGATTCCTGGTGCCTGTCCTAGGTGAAATGGTTCTGCCCAGACCGATAGTTACATGGCCATTACCTGCTCTTGAAGGAGAATTGCCAATCCTGAATCTGGATGGAGCTGCAGATCTTTTGTTAAGACCAAACATAAATAAATGGTTCCCATTTTCCATCTTAACCAGGGTTAGAGGGTGTTGTATTCTAGGGTACTAATGTGATCAATAGAGCTGGAGTACTTTTTTTTTTTTTAAACTGAAATAGCAAAGGAGTTTTATTTTAATAATGGCAACAAAATAAGGAGTAAATAGGTTAACTGCACTAGGTTCATACCAAAGCTAGCAGTCAATCATCTGCAAACAAACTGAATGAAGAGATAGAAGAACACATGAATGAAAGCAGACAGTGGTGGGATTCAAATATGGGAACAACCCAGTTCTCTGTGTGGATGCTGCTTCCGGAAGTCTGTTCTGGGCCTGGGCAACAAAAAAAATAGCTACCGGTTCCGCTGAATCCCACCACTGAAAGCAAAACTATGTAATTAGCAAAAATAGCTCCCCAAACAAACAGCCAAGACTGACCAGAGACAAACAAGTACAGATCCTTCCCCCTTCCCTTGGCTCTCATTAGAAAAATACATGGCTTTTATTATATTTAGAAACACCCCCTAGCCTGCAGGCCCCTAGATCCATTAAAACCACCATCAAATTTAAAGCACATTCTGATACAGCAACTCTTCCCAATATAAATAAACTAAATGAAGCCACAGGACGTTTTGCAATAACAGCACATGCTTTTTTCAAGTTTTCTTTTGTAAATTATACTGGTTGTACTCTAATAAAGGAAGAGGTCTCCTTACTAACTTAACAGAGATGCAGACGATAGGGGCTATATTGATTCATTATCTCCATGTTGTTCTCCCTGTCACTTCTTAATGGTTTCATCTCACCCATTTCTGAGATTTCAAACATGGCATTCTTGGGGGAGGGTTGTATCATTTTATTCTCTACTCTGTCATGACAAGTCTGGAAAACTGCATCTTTTTTTATAATCTGCAAGCTTGGATCAGTTTGAACCTATAATCAGATTGTTAAATGCATTACTAACTGATGCTAATCCTGCTGTGGAAAATAATCTAATATTTATTAAATTTATGTACACTTCAAACCAGTGGACTCTAAGCAGATGATCCTATGGAACTTTTGCCATATTACTAAAGTGACATGGAACAGAAAGACAACGTAGTCATTGCTTTCAGCAACTTTTCTGCCCTTGTGATGATAAAGGAATTGTGTCTCTGAAACTGTGGGGGCTTTGGGTACAGTCCTTGATTCCTACGCAATAATTTAAATATTATGAAAAACACTGCCAGGAAAATAAAGAATAGAACTGTATAGAAGGGCATCAGAAACAGACAGACATGGCAATCCCTTTATATAAACTGGAATGGAAGGATTATGATAGTTTGAGGATTTTTTTTTCCAAACAGATGAAAGAAACGCGGAGTTCTGAAAAACAATGAACATCATAAGCAGAACAAACTGAGTGTTCCAACATATTTTGCTGATATGAATATGAAGAGGCCCAATTAACTGCAGTAGAAGCAAATGCACATCTACCGGTAGTAACAAAACGTATTTCCAAATCATGTCATTAACCTGTGGAGGAACTCAAGGCAAATCAGAAAATCCTGGAGACAGGCGCTTATTAAAATTCAGGTTAGTTTGCTCATGTATAAAAACAATACAAGAAAGAAATGCAAGAAGTCCTTTCTCATTTATCTGACTCCTCTTTAACTCTGTTCACCTTTTTTTTTACCACTGATTAGAATTCCAGTGGGTACATTTCACCAGTATAAATGATTGGTATTAGGCTTAGAGATATTACACAAATTTGATTGCCTGTAAGTAAGGCTTGAGGACAACAACCCTCTCTCCCTGCTAGTCCACAACATACTGCCTCCCCAGTAACTATCATGGCTAGTAGCTGTATCCTCCATAAAGAATTTGTCCATCCTCCCTTAGAGTAATCTAAGTTTACGACAATCATGAGAAATTTAATTCAATGGTTTAACCCTAGGCTGTGTGAAGATGCATCTGTCCTACCAAATACAACTTCTGTAGATGATCCCACTTTTAAAACAGGGAGGTCAATTTCTTCTTCAGTTTCTGTCAGTCCTTTGAGATACTGTAGGCTAGGTCAGGAAACAGACATTACAAGGATTACAAGAATGCTACTTTATTGTTGTAGGACAGGCTTGTACAACATGCAGCCTGCCAACCAGCCTTGCAGCCAGGTGCTTCTTGAAAATTCAATAAATCCATTGCTCCCACCGCCAGGAAGGATCTGCCATCACTGCCCGGAAAGACAACAATGCCTCCAGGACATGATCAGCTTCCTCACTGTCACAAGGCTGCTAGCCACCAAACAATTCAGTAAAAAATAACTATTCCTTTATGGCTTGCAATTATTTTTAATTTATCAATGTGGCTCTTTCCACCCTGAGTTGTAGAGGTCTGCTGTAGGAGGATATAACCACAGTCTTCCTTCTGCTTTTTCTTATGCCAATCAGAATCAAAGCCTTAACTTATGTTAAGTTTCTTTCTCACACCTTCCTCTTTCCCAGGTCTGAGTTGTCTTTTATGTTCTTAATGGCTCCTGAGTATCTTATAATAATAATAATAATAATAATAATAATAATGATGATGATGATGATGATGATGATGATGATGATGATGATGATGATGATGATAAAGTTGGAAGGGACCTTGGAGGTCATCTAGTCCAACCCCCTGCTCAGGCAGGAAACCCTATACCATTTTGGACAAATGGCTGTCCAGTCTCTTCTTAAAAACTTCCAGTGTTGGTGCATTCACCGCTTCTGGAGGCAGGTTATTCCACTGGTTAATTGTTCTAACTGTCAGGAAGTTTCTCTTTGTCAGAATTATATTTGCATTTCTCTACAGCTTCTCCCACACCATGCTTTACATTATGTATCTATCTTGCTTTTGCTCTTTTTTCCCCCCAAACTAAAATGGCAAAACATTGAAATATTTCCTTATACATAATTGTTCCAACCTTTCTGTCACTTCAGCTGCCCATTTCTGGACCACTGCCAAGTCCCTAATATACATTTCAAGAATCTCAGAAATAAAATGGTGCAATCTTAATTCAATAACAAGATAATTTCCCCACATGTGTAGCAGCTGTGCTACATTTGGAAAGAACATCTGGATCTCCCAAACGATTGAGCATTTATTGTACAGTAAACAATGGCCTTTAGACACTCCTCTCTGCAATCTTTGGGGAATGAATCCTCTTTGTTTACCAAAGAGCCTGGATTTCTAAAAGCTTCCTATTAACTATCAGTTGTAAAAACATCTGACACACAGCAAATGAAAGAAATGCAAAACAAAAGTGAGGTACTGCATACACATAACTGTTCACTAGATTAAAACTATCACAATATTAACATGAAGCTTTGGGGGTTTTTTGCAGATCGTTAAATTACTAGGGCTGATAGGTTAACCAGCATAAAAGGTATTGTACAACAGCTGAAATCTGATTGAAATTAAAGGTAATACCTAATGAAGTATTGAGCATTAGTATGTGCCTTGCCTGATAAGACATATTTTCCTTATATAGAACAGGAAAAAAGTACCTTCTTACTTTTTACTGTTAGGTTCATATTGCTGCCAACCACACAGCTTAAGACCCCTCCACCTTACAACGCAGGGCAAAAGGTCCCATTTCTTCTCTAACTAGAAATGCTTGGGACTAAACATGGACCCCTTTCTATTGATGGTAGCACTCTATTTTTTATTATTCCTTGACACTGTTATAGTCCCTATTTTCTGCATGTGTTTATGGCTAAGATCAAGTTAGGAACTAAGCTACAGTTTGATAATTGTTTATTGAATATTTCACAGTTGCCTAAGTTCATAAAACGTGCTAAGTACAATCAAACAGTCAGTGAGAGGTACAAATCAAGTCTTGTTTGCCTGTCTGTGTATTTGGGGGGGGGACGTCATTTTCATTTACCTAAGTGACATTTGCTAGTGAAACTCATGCCTTAAACTTTAGCTAATAATTGTAATTATCAATTATTAAGCTTAATATATTGGTGTTGGGATATTTCCATCTAATTCTTCTACCAATTTTTCACCTACTGACAGTTGTTTTATAAGCCAAACATAATTGAATTTCTGTAGGCTATCAAGAACAAACAACTACCATACTTCTTATATTTGGACCGAACATCTGGAAATGACTTCTAATACAAAAGAACCACAAGGCTGGTAATTTCTGGAGTGGAAGATACATAACTGCAATTAAAAGCTGAAGCATGGTTCACACATCCTAGTTAAATCATAACCACAGTGACTGTTGTTACAACACATAAGCTCAAGGCAAAGAAACCACCCTAGCATGATCTATGTATATCTGTAGTAAAATAAATGTATTCAGAATTAAACACAAGGAGAGATTTTATGTCACCAGAAGGGTTCCTGGCAAAGAGCACTCAAGCATGCATGCAATAACAGAAGAGGAAGAAAACATTAGAAATGCACTTAAGAGACCAGACAAAAGTCTTGTCTACTGTAGTGTCCTATTTCTCACAGCACTCAATGCCTCTGGGAAGCTGAGAAATAGGAGGGAATAATCTCTTCTTGATCCCTTTTTTCTCCTTAGTAACTGCTTTTTTCATTCAAAGGCTTTGATCCTTGAGGTAACATATATCTTCATGATGAGTAGCCTTTCCTCTATAAATTTATCCAAATCCTATTAAAAGATATTCATGTTAGCTAAGCATCATCTCCTCTGGTAGCAGAGTCAGTAATTTATTATGAGTTTCAGATTGTGTATTCCTCACATCATCCATGAAGAATTCTGAAGAAGTGATTCTGTTGTCTCTTAAAGAGGTGCTGCGATGTTTAATATGATGAAAATCTTCTTTCTCAGGTACTGATCAGTAGAAAACCACTTAAGGATATCATTACCCAAAGCAATTTCTGTTACCTTTTGAAATTGTACCGTAAGATTAGATCTGAAAGAATTACTGTAAGGAACTAAGGAAGGAAGAGCAGGAGGGATTTAATGACAACCTGATCAGGCTGCCTGATTTGATTTGATAGTGAGTTAGTATAGAATTTAGAGAGCTAGATTTCTGTAGTGGTTAAGGAGCACAATAGTTAGAATGCAGTACTGCAGGCTAACTCACTGCTCACTGCCAGGAATTCGATTCTCACTGGCTCAAGGTTGACTCAGCCTTCCATCCTTCTGAGGTCAGTAAAATGAGGACCCCAATTGTTGGGGGCAATATGCTGAGTCTGTAAACCGCTTACAGAGGGCTGTAAAAGCCCTATGAAGTGGACATTTAAAATGGACACCTAACATCAAAATGTAATCGAAAAAGCACAACAAAGAATGTTCTTCCTGCGCCAACTCAGAAAGCTCAGACTGCCCAAGGAGCTGCTTATACAGTTCTATAAAGGAATCATTGAATCTGTCATTTGCACCTCTATAACTGTCTGGTTTAGAAGTGCAACCCAACAAGACAGACGTAGACTTCAACGGATAGTTAGAACTGTAGAAAAAACAATTGCTACCAGCCTGCCTTCCATTGAGGACTTGTATACTGCACGAGCAAGAAAGAGGGCTGTGGAAATATCTACAGACCCCTCACATCCTGGACATAAACTATTTCAACTTCTTCCCTCAAGACGATGCTATAGGGCAGTGATGGCGCACCTTTTAGAGACCGAGTGCCCAAACTGCAACCCAAAACCCACTTATGCATCGTCGGGTGCCAGATGGGCGTGGCCCATTGGCTCGGCGTGGCTATGGTGGTAACAGCAGACTGGGTGGGACTAAAAAGTTCAATCAATCAATTCCAACTTTGCAAGATCTTTTTTTTCCCCGCGAGAAGTTGAAATTGACTGATTGATTGAACCTTTTTTTTTTGCACATGGCGGCGGAGGCCTAAAGCAAAAAGGTTTTATAAAACCCAGCTGAAGGCCTAGGACTGGGGCGACGGCGCGCATGCCCACAGAGAGGGCTCTGAGTGCTGCCTCTAGCACCTGTGCCATAGGTTCGTCACCACTGCTATAGGGCATTGCACACCAGAATGACTAGACATAAGGACAATGTTTTTCCCCATGCCGTCACTCTACTTAACAACTAATTCCTACAATACTGTCAAAATACTAGTAAAGCTGTATTACTATGATGTTTCTCATATTTCCTATTACCTATCCTTATTTTCTTATGACTATAACTTTGCTGCTTGTATCTTACAATTTATATTGGGTTTTTTTGTACCCTAGTATGATTTATGTTGTTTGCTTAGCTAGTACTCTATGACTATCACTAAGTGTTGCATCTTATGATTTATGATGAAGTGTTGTATTTCACGATATATGATGAATGTATTTTCATGTTGTACATGATCATGATTATCACTATTACTTGCATGTACACTGAGAGCTTATGCACCGGAGACAAATTCCTTGTGTGTCCAACCACACTTGGCCAATAAAGAATTCTATTCTATTCTATTCTATTCTATTCTATTCTATTCTATTCTATTCTATTCTATTCTACTCTACTCTACTCTACTCTACTCTATTCTGTTCTCTCCTCTCCTCTCCTCTCCTATTCCAGAGGGCTGTAAAAGCCCTATGAAGTGGTATATAAGTCTAAGTGCTATTGCTATCACTCTAAAAACCAACAGACCATGAGTTTTAGTCCCACCTTAGGCACAAAGCCAGCTGGGTAACCTTGGGCTGGTCACACTCGCTCAGCTCCAGGATGATGCATTTAAACTCTGCCTGCTCTTCTCCTATAAAAACTATTGCAAAGAATGCTGCTTCTTGCATTCTTAAACAACTACCTTTCCATCACCTTTGAGATAAATAAAGAATGCAATCAAAGAAGAAAAAGCAGGAAATACACTGAAACCCATGACCCTGTTTACTAACTAAGGTGGGGTGCAACAGAGGACAGGACTCATCT